TATCTTAGCTGTCTACTGTTTGCACTTCAAACACGGCGAGGTTTGCATATGGAAACGCTCTCCAAGTGTGCACTCTCTGCCTTAGCGTCTGAAACAACACATTTGGTATGTTTAAAATGATGCCGTGGGCTGTACAAACAAATACACGCCTTCTCCCACACTGGATCTATGAACTGTGATAATTGGTATATTAGTTATGATTGCCCACTTACGGATTTGACGCTTCCGTCCCATGGTTGAGAAATTCCGGTAAATAGAATCTTTCAGTCTGTAATTGTTTCATGGCAATGAGTTTTATGAGTAATTGAGGCTTAGGTGAAACCTCCATCCTTTAATAAAACATCTATTAGACAATTTCACACATAAGACTTTTTTTTTATCTCAAAACAACCGATTAACAAACTCTCGTTTGTACCTGACAAGAATATTTCTTTCAAGTGTGTTGTTTGATGAACTTGAAACGAAAAGGTCGGCCATTTATTGGCATAGCCATATCATGCCGCTCAAGTGACCTGTAACCCATGATGCCGGTTCGCCGTATCAGTTGTCGATTTCAGACGTGTTTAATTACGTAAGTTAAACGAGATCGTTTTTTGATATTGAAAACAAAATATCGAATTTAAAATGATGCGTGACATTAATTAACAATAGCCCATTTAAAGATAACTTTGAAAACTATTTTAAAGTCATGTGAAAATGCTCGGGAGCGAGACGTTGATTTGGTTTGGTTAAACACCAGTATTTGTTGAGATCAACGTACACTGTATACATGTTTATTTATTCTCAATAAAAAGCAGATGTGTAGTATCGTTTCAGAAAACCTCTTACTGGCGATACTCGCTTTCAATTGACGACGTTTGGATAGTTACATGTTTGCCGGAGTATGATTAATGTAGTTCTTAATAAACATAATCCAGTTAACCACAGCTGGCTTTAAATTGGTGTAGCCTCTTTAGACCTTGTGTGAACTCGTGGCCGAACCATGTCCTCAAGTTCATTGTCCCATACATGTGTATTAATCAAAGTCTTTAAGTGGACCAAAACTGTTATTGACACCAAACCGCTATATTTATTCTAACGTCGTGTATAAAGCATTGCGCCATTTAGGGGGGGGGGGGGGTGTCGAATGGTTTTAGCAAGTAGCACAGTATGAAATGAGACATGTGTGTCGTGTATATTACACCCTCGTTTCATTCTAACTAACTCAGCGTCAACGAGTTACATGTAATGGTTTTGTCTTACACATCCTCCTATCTACATGTTAGTTGCCAAATACTATTTGGTGATGAAAGAGAGACCACGTCTAGGGTGCTGTTTGTTGTTGCTTCAAGTTGATGGTTCAAAGTGATGGCTCGATAGTTCGCTAAACTGTCTCAACTGTCACTGGTAATTTGAAATCAACGAGCAAGGAGACGTAAACAATCGGATTATACTCAGTCTGCGACCCGTTATTAATGGCTAACTGTCAATAACAGTGGCGATGAAGCGATGCATTTAAATGAACACGGACAACAATTTCATATTTGAATTATAATACGCAAAATAGAAGACGTTTTGATTAATCAGGAGTTGTGTTCAAATATTGAGAAATAACTTCTCTCGGTCAGTAAGTATTTATTGTCAGTTTGAAGTAACACAAAACTAAGTAAGCGTTATACAGCTGGACGGCGTCCACACTTGATCACTCACACAGATGCATTCTATCAAATTTATAATTGGAGTGTCGGCATGCTGCTTGAATCACGATTACCCTTACAAGACCCATACATCAAATAGTTGTATTAGTAGATTGTCGACATTCCACCCTTCAGACTATGATCCCAATGTCACTCTAAATATCCCGTGATAATAGCTTATTATTACTGATGACGCCACTTAAATACTAGTTTATTTAGCAATACACACTCCTCCCTTTAAAAAATCTTTGCTTTAAATGTGCAGGGGAGAGGGAAGATATCCATGATATTGCA